TCCATAGTGCTAGGAGGTGCTACACATGCTACTTGAAGAGAAAATTAATTGTTAATCTAACCCAGATGTGAAGCCTGTGAGCCACACAACTGGCTTGGCAAAATATGCCCACTGATGCAATAGTGGCACAAAGGTCATGAGAGTAACCAACCACTTTTCATTTGTTTGTCTTGATAACGGATACTAACTTCTTTTTAAAGCTAGGTAAATACATATAACTTGAAATCTACTATCTTAACCACTTTTACCTTCACAGTTCCGTGGTATTACAAATACATTCACTGTGTTGTGTGGTAATAACTACGAATCATTCATCTTACAAAATTCAAAGTCTCTATTAAAAACCAACTCTTCATCTTCCTGAGCCTGATAGTAACCATCCTATTTCCTAACTGTAAATCTGACTACTCTACATACCTTGTATATGCAGGTTCATAAAGCATTTGTCTTTTGTGAGTTACTTAGTATATTTAAAATAATGTTCTGAGGTTCCATTTATTATGTAGCACATGTCAGAACTTCATTCCTTTTCTGAATCAAATTTTAAGGCTAACCTAATGAGGTAGGTTAGTCATATAAATACAATATAAGTTACAAGTATTTTCTCATAGTTCTTTATATGACTTTTGACATTTCTTACGCTTATTTCTGACATGCAAATTCCTATTATTTTCATCCACACAAATGTATCAACTTTTCAAAAAGATTCTAAGTTTTGGGTCACAGGGGAAAAATCTTGACACAGTTCAAGGTTACTGACAAGATTATACATGTTTTCTTCTCATACTGGCACAATTTCTCTTTTAATTGATTCTTTAACAAACAGGATTTTTTTAGGATAAAATAAACCAGGTCTATTAACTTGATGAAAAATTATCATGTATAAAAATATTAAAAAAGGGGCTGGAGAGATAGCTCCATGGTTAAGAGCACAGGCTGCTCTTAGGACACACATTCAAATCCCAGTACCTACCTACCTGGTAGCTAACAACCTTCTGTAACTCCAGTTCCAGGGGTTCTAACCTGCGTTACATGAGTGCACTTATATATATGCAGGCAATACACTCATACACATAAAATAAAAATAATAAATTTAAAAAAGAAATAAACCAAGAAAAAAATAATTAAAATTTTTATTTCCTAGTAATGTTCTCTTTGATATGCAGATCCAAGCCATATATATATATATATGAACAAAAGCATGTGTGAGTATATTATAATGTTCAAAAAAGAGAACAAGAAAGGGTAATTTTAAAAAGGCATACTACTACTTCTAGGACATTTTAAGATGTATTACTGAAAATTTAGCAGTTTCCCAAACATATATTTGATATTCCTTTCCAATTCAACTCTATTGTGATTAGAAAACATATGAATAGAATTTTTAAAAATATACTGGTTTGTTGGACCTACTTTAATAAATTTCTCATGCGCACATAAGTATATTTTATATCCTACTGTAGCTGATGAGTAACATCTTCTGTAACTGTCAGCTGGATCAACTTCAGAGATAATCTTCAAGTCTATTATGTTTTACTGATTTTTTTTACTTGTGCAATTAATTATTAACAAGAGAACACTGGAATTTCCAGCAATCATTAGGGCTCTGTCTATTTCTTCTTATAGCCCTAACAATTTGCTTCATGCATTTCAAAGTTCTGTTACTAGATGCATAAATGTTTGTGCTTATATATTCTTACAATAAGTAACTCCTCATCATGCTCTGAAACCAACTTTGTGTGATGCTGCCAGAAGCAACTCCAGCTTTACTTAGTGTTAGCCTGTGGCACATTTTTCTATGTTTTTACTTTTAAACTGTGAGTGGTTTCAATGTTTTTTCTTGTCGACACCATATATTGGGATCTTGGTTTTTGTACAGTCTGAGGATCCTTGCCTTCTAATCAAGCACTTGGACCATTTACATTTGAACACAAGTTATTAATAGGTTTCTAAGTTTAAATTCCAAATGCCTGGAACTACTGTGATAGTCTAACTTTTATTTCTAATTCCATATTGCTATAATCAATAAATATACAGAATTTCATTTTTAAAATACACCATGTCCTGTACTATATGTTGTAGAGATCCTTCTATATCTTGCCAGTCACCTTGCACTGCAATGCCAAGAAAGCTTCAGTAGATGGGTGAGTTTTCCCTAATAGTTTCCTAGCACAGAACAGACACAAAACCACTAAAGTGGGATGTGCAGCTCCATCCTGGCACCCTCAGTGTCAGGACTAAGAACTGTTGAAGTGTTCCTCTACCTTAGAGTTTTTCTTTGTTTGGTTTTGGAGGATTTTTATTAAAAATTTTGTTTCCCACTACCTTCCCATGTCTTCTTTATACACACTACATAGGTTCTTTCAGGTCATTATGATGTAGTATTTTCTTGATCCAGATAAAGAGGGAATTCCATTCCTATGATAGGAGCTGGAATCTGTTCTCAGTTCACACAAGTCACTTCCTATCACACATTACAAGTCATCTTCTATGAATTTAGTATCACTCTTTGAGTGTTAGCGTGGGGCTGACTCTCCTAAGTGTCACGTGGCTATTTCGGAAAGGCCAATTTTGTCTTTTTCTTCAGCACTATGCCCCCCTCCTTTTTTGTTTTTTTGTTTGTTTGTTTTTGGTATTTTTGAGACAAGTTTTCCCTGGAGCCACAGCTGGCCTGGAACTGGCAATGGAGACCAGACTGGCCTTATGTTTGCCTCCCAAGTGCAGAGATTAAAGGTGTGTGTCACCACGCCTGGCTACTATGGCCCTTTTATAAGGGTGCCAACTTTGCTTCACGTGTCCCCAAATGGTCATCTCTGACTTTTTCCTGAAGTCCCATGGTAATTAGAGAGCTGCTGTTGATGGAATCAAACTAAAGCCCCCAGGTTGAAGTGGAGTCCCCCAGACCAAAGCAAAGAAAAATATTCCGGAAGCTGTACAAGGAAGTAAAATATAAAATAATTCTAAACTGCTGAGAAAAAAAACTGACCTTTTCATGCTCTCTGCACCGGTTGCTGGAAATCCCCTGAATTCCCCCTCCCGTCTTTGCTTCTTGGCTCAGTAATCGCTTATGGTTTTTGGCTTTTAAAAGGGGCTTGTAATCTGTGCTCAACACTTCTGCTCCCTGAGCTAGAAGTCCGTCTGCGCAAACGTAATAAAACCCTCATGCTTGTTGCATCTTCTGGTCTGAGGACTGAGTTATTGGGGAGCGGCCTCCTGTGGACGTTGGGTACCCCAAACTGGGGTTACAACACTCTCACCATATCCATAGAGGCCACGTGACCCTATCTAGAGAAGGGGGCCTTCTCCTCTGGAGCAGTGCCTCTATGACATCAGTGTCACAGGACAACTTCCATTCTTCTGCACCACTCTATCTCTGGCATTAGTTCTACTACTTTGGATTTTATCCCACTTTAGGAAACAAAGTGTGAGGCACTGTCTACCCCATGTTTATGCATGTGATAAGAAAGTACTGAGCTACAGGTGACCCTATCCACTTTCATCATTGGCAGGTATGGTGGTGGAAGGCTGTAAGAACATAAACAAGGTTAGGTTGCCATGACTATGCTGAAAAAACAAGGAATCTAAAGTAAGCCTTTAAAACTCACCAACATTACTATTTTTCTTTTAAGTTTCCTTCAGTGGAACTGGCTACCCTTCCATTCCAATTATCTCTATACACCATGGCATACCCCTCCCTCCAGAGTTCTGAACAGCCTGCCCTTACTCTTTGACATAGATGTACTGCAAATATCTGCCTAGCAAGTATCTCCAATGTTTAGGAACTCATAAGCTACAAACCAGGAAGGAAAGAGAAAGAAAAGGTAAGAGAAAAAAAGAAAACAGTATTCCAAATTCTTAATAGGGGTTAAATTAATATCTCTTCTAATTTATTGTATTAAAAAGCAGTTATTAACAGTTTTTCTCATATGCTAAATTGTCCTTTATGAGAACATGGAGTTTTTTGGCAATAAATATTTTTGTAAAAACACAAAGATTGTAGAGCATCATGTGAGCATGTTTTCTTCTATGTTTCCCTGGGTATCTTAGCACAGGGCTCTGTAGCACACATATAAACAGCTACAAAGTGATGCCTCTCTCCTCTGTGGACTCTGAGCATCTAACAGGTGTCTTCAATTCACATTCCCATAGCCTGTGCACTAACTGTCAAATAATTTAGCATCTGTAAATACTTTTGGAAATGACAATGATCATTAGACAAATCTCACATATGACCAAAAGTAAAACAAAGATAATCAACCATGCTGCAATTAATAACAACCTACAGTCATATATTAAAATCCCTTATTATGAGCCCGGTGTGGTGGCGCACACCTTTAATCTCAGCACTTGGGAGGCAGAGGCAGGCGGATCTCTGTGAATTCGAGGCCAACCTGGTATACATAGTGAGTTTCAGGACAACTGAGGCTACAGGGAGACCTTGTCTCAAAAAGACAAAAAAAAAAAAAATCCCTTCTTATGAAGCACTTATAAGAGTCATAGCTGTTAAGAAGTGAATTCTTCTAATCTTAGTAGTCATAGGCAAGTGGGCTTCAAGCTTTACCAAATCTCTATAACATCAAGAAGTACGCAAAATAAGACATACACACACAGGTAAAAGAATGTATAAATGCACACACACACACACACACACACACACACACACATAATAAGCAGCTAGAAATGATGGGAACATCACAGTGCATCAACTATTATCCAAAGTCAAAGCTGAATTAGCTACATCACATCACTTTACTGACTCATATTATGGGAGCAAAAACTCAACAATAGCACGTGCTAAAAATGAGCAAATCTGTACTGAATGTACCCCAAAGACATACATGTGGCATGAAAACATCTAAGAGCTGGACACATTCTCCAGCCTTTCTTTCCCCTTATGCATCAGAGATTCTATGCGAATCTGTTCTAGATTGAATTGCCTTCTCAAAACAAAAGCACATAAATAATGAGTATTTTTATAACAAATGAAAGAATTAACTTACCCTGGTAAACGTTCCTTCAAAACTATGAATATCCAATTGTGGCTTCTGAGCATAAACATAAGCACTAATAGAAAAAAGGTCCTGAAATACAGAAAATTAAAATTAACATCAATGTTATAACTTAATAAACTATTTTGAGGTACTTTAGTTATGAATTAAAATTTTCATTCATAATATGCCAGAAGTAACTCTTGATTGCCTTAGTTTCTGAATTCTGGCACCATGACCCAGAATAGAAGGTAACTAAAGAAACAGTGATTGTCTTCACTCTCCTTGTGGCCACTGTGTCTGAACCTCTTCGGAGAAGCAAGCAAAAACAGCAGCCTGGGGCTGCCCATAGGATTCTTCCTGTAAGGGTGGAGCCCAAATGTTACTAAACAGGGCTCCATGGAAGACACTATCACAAGGGCCAAATTCAAGAAAGGACAACAAAAAGTGACTCCAGATTATGTAAGCACTGCTCCCAGGGTGACTCCCACACAAGCTCTGAAGCCAAGAACAGTTACAAGAGCTCAAGCCCCACAGACACCTGCCAGCAGAAATCACCATGGCAGAAAGACAGTACCATCTAGGCGGCCTTCCAAATTTGTGAGCATATTCAACTGTGAAAGCTAATTCCTCAACATTCCAGAGCTCAGTAAGCATGGAGTCCAGGCCTCCAGTTCCCAGAGAACAGGCTGAACAAAGGGTAGAGTGAGGTTCAGCACACTAGCTTCTCACAGCAGAGCTGTTATTACAGTTCACACTACAGGGGAACTATGAACAACTTATGTGCAAGTTAATTAAGTAAAGCTAGTTTACAGAAAAAATAGGTTGTATAATAACTCAAGATTTATGACAACACAACCAGAATGTTTAATAAGCTGCCAAAAGAGTCTATGAGCAAAGCAAGGCTGAAAATTATTTCAAAACACAAAAAGCGATTTTCAAAACAAAACTTTCATACCACAGACTACCTTTTGATACAGGAAAATAAAGAACAAGCGTTGCGACCACCCTCATTTCTGCATGCACACGAACGTTTATAAGGGGGCATTTCATTTAGTATATTAGACATCAAATGACTGAATAATGGCACAATAATGAGAATGTCATTCGAAGCTTTCATGATAATTTAAAAATCATTCTGAAGTTTTCAATAATGTAGGAAAGCCTCCGCTATTAGGTCAAGGGCAACATTTGTTCACATTACTTAAAGGTCATTAAAATACATCCTTAATCATAACATGTGTTTCATTACAAATAAAATTGCCTTTTGTTCAATAAAACTAATTAAATGTAAATGGTATTGTTTACTACTATATGGATCTTTTGAAATAAATCAGCAAGTCATGATTTATTGAAAATTACTGGGGCCTCATGGTTGTTAATAAATTTACTTGATCACAAAAGCCAGAAATATATTTCCCAAATGTCTACAGTGCCTGAAAACTATGCATTCAACAAGGCAGCAGAAAGCAGAAACCACATATGGTACTGCAGCGCAACTGGGCACCCAGACACAGGGCTCCCCCAAACTCAGTGCTCTGACCATGTTAAGGGTTCTGGGAATACAGAGCAAAGGTTACTACTGGTGATTTCCTGAGTTCAAGAAAAGGTGAACAGAGATTCACCTACCCTGTATCACAATGCCAGGAGCTGAGGTGACACAACTAGCAATGCGACACAAAATACCCTAAATTCATCATTCAGAGACAGGAGTTTTATGGCCAGTGTGAGTTATGGAATGATAATCTGAACTACCTTGCCTGTGTCCACAATGAAATTAGAGCTTCCTTCTCTATTAAAAGAATCCATACATGATATCCAATTTTATGAGGAAACAATTTAAAATGGATTAATAGACAAAACATTCAGTTAAGCTTCCTTCTTTTCTAGGAAATATTCTTTTCAGTTTTAAGATCAGATAAAAAAATTAAAATGTTTTCATTAACTGCACATCTATTTCACTCAAATAGTTACTCACACTTCCTATCAAAGCTTATTAGTCACAAAAATTTGAAAGTAGCATGATATGAAAAAGAAGATATGAAGATATGATATGAAAAGAAGGAGAGAACATCCTCCTCATACTGAACATAATAAAACATGACTTCCTATGACCAAAACAAAGAACTCACTCCATTACAAATAGAAAATAGCATACTAAAATTTTTGTTATTTTACTAGAATATAATTGATAAACACATTTAAAGTGTAAAACAAAATGTTCTGGTATACATATACATCTACGCTCACCATCACAATCAAGATATACAACACTCCTATTACCTCAAATATCCCTATCCATACTGCAGCCTTCTCCAACCCTCATCCACCTCTACCTTCACCTCCACTCTCCTCCATTTCTACCACCCACCATCTCTCTCCTCTACCTCCATCTCCTTCACATCCACCTCTTTCACCCCCACCCTCCTTCCCCTTTACCTCCACCCTCCTCAACTGTTGATTTGCTCTTCCACAATTGTTTAAGTTAAATTACAAACAGCATATTCTCATTTGTTTGGCTAAATTTGGATTTTCTTTCAAATTATTTTTACAAGCATTTTATTCTGTACTTTCTTTTTATTATTTTTAGTAAAATCTATCACAAAATTATTTAGTGTGGCATTTCTTAAGCTTTCTACTGCTAACATGCCCATGGTTAGAAGACAGAGAGAGTGGAACTATATAACCCACTTGTAACAGTTTAAAAAGAAAATCCTTTTCAGTTTTCTAAGGACACATCAGAGAAAGAAATAAAGGTACATGGAAGAAATATGTAAGCAAGAGCAGTACTAACCCAGTCATCAGTTGAAATTATAACAGAAAGTCAACATAGGTTGTAGCTGCCCAATGATAATACTCATTTTTTAATTTCTTTTTTACAATTATTCACTGTTTGTATGTGTGTATGTGTGGGGGTCAGTAGGATCTCTCTATCCACCATATAGATTTTACAGACTGAGCTCAAGTCATAAGGCTTGGTAGCAAAAGCCCTTACTTGCTGATCCATCTCTCCAGCCCAAATTTATTCATTTTAACAAACGGCATGAAAGAGCACAAGAAGGCAGATGTCTTATATGTGAGATAATGGCATAACTTTATTCTTTAACATAAAATAAATAATAAATAAATAGAGTGTAAAACATTGGGGAGTGGGATCAGTGTGGGAAAGAGCTGAGAAGAAAGGAAATAATAGAGGGACCTGGGCTGTCGAGAGGCATGACTGCACTCTGGTCAAAGTGGACAGTAGGAAAAGAGCTGCTTGGCCCTCACACTAAAGCTTTCAGGTGGCTGACAGAATGAGTGATATGCTGGGACTTCTTCATCTGTAGCTGTCTGTGTATCCAAGGATTAGCAGGGAATATTTCAATAATTGTAACTTTATAAATGCTAATGACCCTTTGACTCCACCTAACAGGCTCTTGATAAATAAGAGCTGGCAGGAAGATAGCCTTAGGGTACAACAGGAGGAAAAAATAAAGATCAATGTAAAGGAAAACATAGTGGTGCTGACCCAATAGAATTTAACACATTTATATGGCAAAAGATATAATAAAGATAGCAGCTTAAAAAAGATTGGGGGGCTGGAGAGATGGCTCAGTGGTTAAGAGCACTGGCTAGGTTCAAAACACCCACACAGCAGCTAACAATTGGAACTCCAGTTCTAACCTCTTCTGACCTCCACAGGCAATGCAGAACACGGGTGCACTTATATGCATACAGGCAATATACTCATACACATAAAATTTATATACATATATATATATATATAGCAGACTGGGGGAACTCATCTGCAACATACACTGGACCAAGGTATAGAAGGTAGAGAGAACAGGAGAGTATTCTCATGTGAATGAGGAGAACTGAAAACTGTATAGCCATTTGAGAGCAATTTTAAATTTGTAGAAAAAGTTGTTTAGGGAATAGTACTGGTACAACTGATTCATAGGGTTTAGCCATTTAATTTTGATTTCTCATTCAGAAATTAACTCCATAATTAATGTTGGTGTGAAGTTCCCAGAACATAGCTCTACCTGTGTTAATGATTCTGTAAGGGCAGACTGAGTGATTAGAACTTCTGATCTTCGAGTGGCTCCCAACTAATGTGGCAGGTTCAGAGCCAAATTATCCTGGGTTATCTTTAACCCCTTAATAACCATTCACTGCTCACTTAACAGTGCCTGTTAAGTTCTGTGACTATTGGGTAAATCCTTTTGGAATCTACTTAACGACTCCCTAGCCTAGCTTCACCAACCCAAAATTAAGAATGTTATCAAGTAACATCTGAGGCCTGTAACAGTGATTTCCCATTTTCTCCGTAACCTGCCTACATGGTCTTTACATCAATATATTTTTTTAAGTGTCTTGATTTATGACCCCCCTTTTTTTCTATCACTAAAAAAAATAAAAATAAAAATTCCTCTTGCTTCAGTCTTTAGACAGGTGAGATTACAGGCCTGCACTACCAAACCTGTCTAAATTTTTTTAAATGAAACCTATATAAAGTATAAAATATGCTAGGCATGATGGTTGTATGCCTAGAATCCTTAGAATTTGGGAGACTAAAGTGGGGATATCTCAAAGTTAAAGCCAGCCTAAGCCACATAGTGAAACTACCTCAGAAAAGAGATGATCAAAAAAATTTAAAACACTTGTGAAGTCTTATATAAAAGGTGATGCAAAACAACACACTGTTGAATAAATGTTCTACTGGAAAAACAGCACATATAGCATACTATCCTACAGCGTAAGTATGTGAAAAGGGGAAAGGGAAAGGAGGAACACTCACTTCCAGGGAGGTGAATGGCTATTAAGGGGTTAAAGATAACACAAGACAATTTGGCCCTGAATTTGCAACATTAGTTGGGAGATGCTTCACAATTATAGAAGTTCTAACATGAATGGCAGCTAGTGCTGAGAGATAAATTAGGAAACATTTTTCCCCCATTATATTGCTTAGGCATTATTTTCAAAGCATATATTACTAATAAAGTCAGAGAAAAAAATGTTTTTCATCTATTTTTCTGAGTGAATACATCCTAAGAGACAGGACTGGGGAGCATTTGAGACAGGAGGAAAGTAGAGCTCAAGCCCTC